AAAAAAAACAAACAAACAAGATAGCCTCAGTGGCTTTCACATTAATCAGAAATTTAAAAATTACACATCTTTTCACATTATGTAGACATATAATACAATAAGTTGTGGAAATAGTACCAAGAAAACCCACAAAACACACTACCTATCTCTTTAAACCTATCTGGTTTATAAAAGTAGGGGTGGGACAATCATATTTTTTAGATATGTTCACTATAGGTACAGAATTCAAGGTTTCCTTTTCGTTTTAAATCACATTTGACTCCCAACTTTGTACTAATCACTTTAGATTTCATTTCTAGTACTGCTATTGAGGCTTGGTCCACATATACCAAAATCCCATTTTCAAAAATCATAATTTCTGGACTAAGGCCGAAAGTTTAGTAATAATGAATAACATAAAATTCTGAGATGGAAAGTAAATTAAAAACTGGGCCATATGCTCTTCTGTGAACATTTAATCCATAATCACTGGCCCCACATTTTCTAGAGTTGCTCCCTCTTCATCTGTCCCTACAAACAAAAGGAATTCAGCCAGAGAAGAGAAACGTCATTTTCTTGGATGATTAAAAAATTAGCTAACAGCCTCAGCAGTTAAGAAAATGTAGTAGTTATGAAAGCAAATGGAAACAGAGGTCTAGTCTGTATAAGCAATATCTTAAGTCTAAAATATAATGTCCAACCATAATGGACCAACATTATATATATAATAAGACATTTACCTTTCATGAAAGCTTAGAATTAGTCTTATTATTTTAAAGGCACTTCAAACATGCTTGGGATATAAGTTTTTAAAAAGGAGATGTAAACATAAATTCATAATATAATTATATCTATGTAAAAACTACACTAGTATAAAAATATATCAAAGTGCTACCAGTGATTACGTTTAGTGGAATTCTGAAAATATTTTTTCTCTTTCTAAATTTTATTGTGGAATCCTAACCATGGCGATGATGACAAAAAATTTTAAAGTCACATGAACATTTGCTAAGGTATATAAATCAAGTTTAACAGTATGCATAATCACTATTGTATAATATAATAATCAGGTATGAAAAGTAAATGATTCACATAAAAATGCTGGTATTTAATAAATATGTTTACACATTCAAGCTACTCTTTTTGTTTATTTAAAAAATTTTAATTGAGATTTAACATTAAGTTTAAGGTATACAACATGGTGATTTGATTCACTTACATACAGTGTGAATGATGACCACTGTAGGATTAGCTAACACATCCATCATCTCACATAATTACCATTTCTTTTTTGTGGGGAGAACATTTAAGATCTACTCTCTTAGCAACTTTCAAGTATTTAATATAGTATTATTAACTATAATCCCTATGCTGTATGTTAGAGTCCCAAAACTTGTTCATCTTATAACTGAAAGTTTACATACTTTGACCAACATCTTCTCATCTCCCCTCCTCCCCACCCTCAGCCCATGTTAACCACCATTCTAGCCTCTGCTACTATGAGTTCAGTCAAGCTACATTTTAAGTTTCTCTTTTTACTCAATTCTCCAATATGTAAACATGGCCGATCTCCTAGTTTTTCAACCATTACCCTCACCTCAGATAAACGTAACAAATCTGAGGCCAGGTATCCCAGAATAACACATTCAGATTATTATCTTGATCCCTGGCCCCATCTCCTAAAACACAAAGGGCTAGAGGTAGTAGAAACTCTGGCCTCAGCTATGAATGTTGATTCTACAGAGACAGTGAGATCCCAGCAGCAGAAAGTGACAAAAAGTTTTGTAGCTTACAGAGTTAGCCAGTTCAGTGAACCTGTCTGTGCTCAGGTAGGAAAGGTTGTATAACTGAAAAGTTACTGTAATTAAAAAAAAAAATCATAATGGCCAAGTTTTTTCTTTTTCTTTCTTGATGAGATCTGCTGACTTAAAGATGTAAGATTGGGGCAGATGCCTTTGGAGACGTTTCCACTCTAAGACAGTAGAAGAACTTTGTCCAGGATGCCAACCTAGCCATGTGGTTGGCTCAGCTAGCTAGAGTGGGCAAATGTAAGATTTGATTTTTGCCTAACCAATAAACAATTTTCTTAAAAAAATCAGCACTATCTAGCAGCTATTAGGGAATTGTCCTCGATTGGTGATCTTTAGGATTCATTCAGGCTTCTTTTTCCTACATACTAAAATAATTGAAGTACGCTAAGCTTACCTTCAGAATGAACCTGAGGCTTAGAATGATTTCAAGATTTGGGATGGCTTCTCTACAAAGCTTCTCACTAATACTATTTGAAATTTCTTTATCAGGAAATAAAATTTTCATTTCTAAATGGAGATGAAAGGCTTAAAATACAATTAAAGTAAAACATTATAAGTGAGTTCGAGTTCATGTGTAATAAAATATTAGATTCTTTCCTGTTTGAATACAGAGAAAAGATTATAAAGCAGGGAGCTAATTGGTGCTTTGAGTGGGTCAAAACAAAGACTTGAAAGGGGAAAAGTAAACAGAACAGAAAGCAAAACTAAAGACAAAATTTTCCTATATCACACTTTTACTTTCAACTGATTGCCATGTGTTTTCTTTATTTTGAACCCAAAGATACTCTGTGTCTAGTGTGACAGCTCCAGGTCACCAACATAGGATTCCCAGAGTTAATTTAAAATGAGACCAGGCCCACGTTTGACTGTGCAGGATGCTCTGACAGTAATACCAGGAAATGTTATAGAAAGGCACAGCCTTACTCCCACAATTCAACTTCAAATTTTAGGGATATAGTTAAGAAAGGGGTTGCCTAGGACCAGCTTTTAAAGCAAAAAAATATTTATATCTGGAAAATTTTGACTTCAAAATTTGTCTTACTTTTATAAGCATAAAAACAAGGTGAGCTATTCAAATTAAATCAGTGTATACTAGAATGTGAATTTATTATCTCAGGAATTAAAAATAAACTCTCATTCCTTTCACTTCCAAGAAAATACTATCATAAGTTTTTTTTAGGGTCTTAGTATGTATTAATTCTATTATACACAGTATTAATTTCAATGAAAATAGTTAAACTGGATTTTATAGTCGACTTGTCAAGAAGTTTGTTTCAGTAGAAATAGTTCCCAAGGTGCAGAAGTCACATTAATGAAATTCAATCTTAAAACTGCACTAAAACCCAAAATTGTTCAGTTATGAGTTCTAACAAACTATTTTTCTCTGCTGAATAGTGTCACACAAAATTTCAAAATATTTCGGGCTGGCCGAGTGGAGTGATGGTTAAGAACTGGCTTGGGACACCAGAGGGCCCTGGTTCGGATCCCACATATGAGGGCCAGTGACACTGCCCTCCACAGCTAAGATGCTGAACAACAGCTCAACCTGGAGCTGGGCTGCTGTGAGTCGCCTGCGGCGACTGCGTAGGCTGCAGCCCCTGTGGCAGTGGGTTGCCATGGGATACCGGGTGTAACCAGCAGCCGCAGTGAGCGGCCTACAAAAGCCGGCGATTGATGTGCCTCGCCTGGGAAGAGCCCAATGATGGTGCCAACTTGGGCCAGTGAAGCAACATCCTCCACAACTAGACTAAAGAACAAAAACGACAGCAACTTGTCTGTTCCCCTTCCCCCAATTCCCCAGCAATGTTCCCAGCCCACTTCCCCAATAAAAATAAATTAATTAATTAATTTAAAAAAATTCAAAATATCTCAAGATTTACTTCAATGCATATGGTACAATAAAGATTTTTACTCAGTAACATAGGCTGCGTTTTCTTTCACATAAACTAGCAGAGCCACAAGACTTTTTATTCAACGGATCTACTACAATTAAATAAGAAATATACTTTGATGACAAGCAGAATCATTTGTAAAAACTGCAGGCTGCAAGAAGCACTGATAGTGTGACATCTTCTGTGTCATCTTAATGTACTCCAATGAGTCAAAAAGATCAGAACACAGACACAAATGCAAGAAAAACAAATGTGGCTACCCAGGAAGTGAATTTCTCACAGAAAATCAAACTGCTCTAAAGCATAGATAGTAAAAAAAATTAATAATTCCTATTTTGGGGTTACAACACACAAATAACACCTCCTAATGGTTTTGCTGGTAAGAGCAAAGCTTCAATAAATTACAAAGCCAATTTGGGCTGGCTTTCCCAAGAGGATGATAAAATAATTATATTATCTAATTCTATCTAAAGAGGTTCAAAATGGTTCTAGAATACAGATATATTTATGAAATTAGAGAGCATTATTACCCACATATATAAACTTAGAATCACTACAAGCAAAATTTTAAAGTACACAGTGTTTGTAACCAAAGGGTGTGAGGGAGAAAAAGGGTGATCCTCAGACCTCAAGCTCCAAAGGGCAGCCATGGTATGAAGCAATGCAAATAAAGCTTAGAGCTTGTTTTCCTTACTTATTATTTCCCATAAAAGCTTTACTTATCTCCTATCACTTCATCTAAATGAAAAAAAAAAAAGAAAGAAAATATATATGTATCACCCATCTCCAGGTTTCTTTCTGTTCCCACAGTTTCTAAAACATTAAGCTTGGAGGACCTGTCCAAAACATCCCTAGACCTGAAGCGATTATTTCAGCAAGTTGGACACAGTCCAAAGGGATCACCCCCTACCTTTTCTCTAGAGATATAATAGCCTCTGAAGCTACAGCTTAATTTTTTATGATTCTTTTAACAACATGTCATTGTATGAACTCTGTCTACAGCACGAAATTAAAATGCAGGCCTCAAATTTTAACTTGCATTTATTATGTATAAAGTAACATTAAAATTTTTTATTACAGCTTAAAACAAAAGGATGTTTTACCCTTAAAGAAGCTTTGTTCAAAAATTTTATTTCATTTAGCTGTCTTATTATTTATTAATTCTTGAGGATTTTAGACATTTAGGTACTTTTATTTTTAATTTGTAATTAAGTTTCTTACCCTTTAAATGATGTATGTCTGCCATCTGATATGATATGTTGCTCTGTAGTTTAACCTGAAAAAAAAAATTTTCATTTTACTAAAGAATATAGTTTTACTCACATTTACTTTTTATTCATATTCACTTTGAGCTTGGTCATAAATATGAGAGAAGGGGCCGGCCGAGTGGCACGCTGGTTAAGAGCTGGCTTGGGATGCCAGCTCTGAGCAGCGGGACCCCGGATCGGATCTCACATAGGGCCAGTGACACTGCCCTCTACAGCTAAGATGGTGAACAACAGCTCGACCTGGAGCTGGGCTGCCATGAGTCGCAGCCTCTGGTGCAGTAGGCTGCCATAAGCTACTGTGTGTGGCTGGCAGCCAGTGTGAGCTGCCAAGAGCCGCCGGAAGCGGCCGTCCAGAGGCCGGAGACTGATGTGCCTCACCCGGGAAGAGGGCAATGATAGTACCAACATGGGCCAGTGAAGCAACGTCCTCCACAACTAGGCTGAAGAACAAAATGACAGCAACTTGTCTGTTCCCCTCCCCCAATTCCCCAATAAAATCTTAAAAATAAATAAATAAATATGAGAGAAAATTCTTATTATGCATACACCACCTCTTTCCAAAAAACATTAGGGATAAATTCTGATTTTGCAATACTCATTTTAAATTTGCACAAGAATACTAATTTTACTTAATATATAGTATAACAACTTTAAAAGTTTTAAAGTGAGCTGGATATTGCTTAATGGTATGTGTTTCCAAAATCTTACTAGAAGAGACCTCTTACTAACTCTATATTAAAAAAAGAATTGCTTGGGGCCGGCTGAGTGGCTAGTTGGTTAAGAGCTCGCTCAAGAGTGCGAGCTCTGAGCAACAGGGTAGCCGGTTTGATGCCTGAGCTGAGCTGCCGCTGAGCTGCCAACAGGTGGCAGGATGGCTCAGCTAAATTAAAAAAAAAAAAAAAGAATTGCTTGAATCAATGTCAAATCAAAAGTAATGAATGCTTATCCAGTTTCCACAGAATGACAGATATCACATAAGACTCACAGCTGTGGTCACTGCACTCTAGGAGTAGGAGACTACTACTGTATTTCAGATGAGAGAAAATGTTGGTCTAAACCAGGGGTGGGCAAACTATGGCCTGTGAACCAAATCTGGCTTTCTGCCTAGTTTTGTAGAAATGGCAAGCTAAGGGTGGTTTTTATATTTTTTAAGGGGTAAAGGGGTGGGGGATCAAAAGAATAATATTCCATTAATGATATGAAATTCAAATTTCAGTGTCTATAAATAAAGTCTGATGGGAAACAGCCACACCCATTCATTTATGTCAATGGCTGCCTTGGGCCAACAGTGATTGTGACAAAGACCACATGGACTGCAAAGCCAAAAGTATTTACTATATGGCCCCTTACAGAAAAAGTTTGCTAACAGAATTATTAATACAACAGAGAGATAAATACAGAGAGTGCCAAAAAAATGTATACACATTTTAAGAAAGGAAAAAACTGTATTAAAATTGTAATACAATGAATGATGCTAGCATTCATTTGATTAACACCATCTTTTGAGCCAACTTCATATTACACATTGCTACTGCAATTCAATTCAACTATGAAAAGTAATACATAGATAACATCTCTTAAAATGTGTATATTTTTTTGATACCCCTGGTATATGTGAGAGCTATTAAAGGGGAAGAATGAATAATCTCGCTGATTGATTAGATATGGGGGGGGGAAAGAAACATCAACAATGATGTTTACATTTCTAAAGCAGGGGGACTAGATGAGTAAGGTTGCAATACTCCATAGTAGGGAAGTAGAAGAAGGGAAAAGTGGGGAGGTGACTTTCAGATTTGGACCTGCTGAATTTGAGGCACCTTTGACATGCCCAAGAAGAGATCTTCAGTAGGCAGTTAGATAAGTGGGTCTGGAGCACAGGCATTGATTTGAGAGTCATTAGCATACAAATGGCAATTAAAACCACAGAAATGAGATCACTGATGCAAAGCTGCAGAGGCAGCAGGAAAAACTAACAGCAGCAGTGAGATCAGTTGATCACTAAGAACTGCTCTCCAATAACTTCTAATTAGCCTGTGTTTACATTCTTTCCCACTTCCTTTATTTTCAGGATCCATTTTTTTTTTTGCCCCTCCAAAGAACATAACCATCCTTTATTCTTGTTTTCAAAAAGTTTACATCCATTTTTATGATGCTACTCCAGCTTCTCTGTACTCTATTTTAAACTTGCTTTTGAAATCGCTAGCGAGATGCTATTCTTAAATACTAGGCTATATATATAAATATGTGAGTGGCCTCAGCTTCCCTGGACTATCTCTTTTATATTCTTATACACTTTGAAATTTTTTTAATGGAGGAGGGGAAATTCAACCTACAGACTACAAAAATAGTTAAGGGTTATATGGGCAGTACTGCGTTATTCTTATTGCTTTAATTTTCTCTTTAATCTTTATTGAGAATGGAGACACTGATCCCCTTGGCTCATATATGTACAAAGTGATCACATTTCAAAAGCTGCTCTGGAACAATTTATTTACATGGTATTAAAGAGAAAATCATAGCGTGTCTAAATAAAAGCTTTGTCTTAATCCAAGCATAATGAATTTATTTCCCACCCCATTCTTTTGCCATGCAAGGATTTTTCAGTTAGCTTCTCAGACCCCCTTATAGCATACTGTTCCCTTGGCATCTCATGTTCTCTGTTATTCCTGTCAATCTTTCCAGCAGGATTCTCAGAAACACATTATATTTAGTATTTAGTATTATCAGCAAGTACCAGTTCTCTCACTTCCTATTAATACTAGTTTCATTGTGCTACTTATCTCACCTTCCATATATGCCTTTGAACAGAACCAAGGATTTGCTCGAAATTGTCACAGAGCCCAGCTGACAGATCATTAAATCAAGAAATTCTCTTTCCCACTACAGTAATTTTATGTTGCTCACTTTTATTATTTTATTTATTTATTTATTTAAAAATTTTTATTGGATAACAGTGTTTCTTTACCAGAACCCATCAACTCCAAGTCAAGCTGTTTTTTTGGTTTTTTTTCAATCTAGTTGTGGAGGGCGCAGCTCATTGGCCCATGTGGGAATTGAACTGGCAACCTTGTTGTTAAGAGCACACACTCTAACCAACTGAGCCATCCAGCCGCTCCCTGTTGCTAACTTTTAGAATCTAGATGTCTGCTAATTATCTGTTCATCTTTTTATTGCAATATTATTACATGCATCTGATCCCTTCCTTTTCACTCAACATATACACCCCACACCCAAATTCTTATCTAGCTCCTAACTAAAAGGGTTTGATAAAAAATTTTGGGGCAGCCTGGTGGCTCAGTTAGTGAGAATGTGTGCTCTTAACAACAAGGTTGCTGGTTCAATTCCCACATGGGATGGTGGGCAGCACCCCCCCACACACACACACAGCTAGACTGAAAAATGGCGACTGGGCTTGGAACTGAGCAGATAGGTCCTGGAAAAAACACAGTTACCCAATAAAAAAATTTTTTAAAAGAATTCTTCTAACATTCAATGTTGTCCTTTTAAGGAAATCTAAATGTGTTTTTACTTACCATGACACTCACTTGTATGTAAAGCAATAGTTTAATTTTGGCTTTAATCTTATATTTTCTACCATCTTGAGTCTATTTATAAAGACTTCTCCCATTTGGTTTCTGATGTTTTAACATTTGCTCCAATTGAAATTTCTCTCTTTTTATTAATCATTTCTGTATATAGACAGGTATCTTTAGTTCTTTAACTCCTTTGGTTTTATTTAACCCTTCCTATGAGAGCTTTCACTTTTTTTTTTTTTTTTAAGATTTTATTGGGGAATTGGGTAGGGAAACAGCGTTGGGGAATTGGGGAAGGGAAACAGACAAGTTGCTGTCCTTTTGTTCTTCAGTCTAGTTGTGGAGGACGTTGTTTCACTGGCCCATGTTGGTATTATCATTGCGCTCTTCCTGGGAGAGACAGTCGCTCGCTGGCCATTGGATGGTCGCTCACAACAGCTCACGAAAACTCACTCCAGCTGCCAGCCAGCCCCACTGCAGCCCACGCCGTCGCCGGCGACTCACAGCAGCCCAGCTCCAGGTCGAGTTGTTGTTCACCATCTTAGCTGTAGAGAGCGCAGCGTCATTGGCCCTCATGTGGGATCTGAACCGGCGCCCTGCTGCTCAGAGCTGGTGTCCCAAGCCAACTCCTAAGCAACGTGTCACTTGGCCGGCCCAAGCCTTCACTTCTTTTAATACTTCTACCATCTTGTCAACTTCAAAAGGAAGCTTGGCTTCCCTTCTGATTATTTCTGCTCATAGTTTTAATTTCCTGTGTTCTAATAGTAATTTGCTTATCTTCTAAATAACGCTGCCAAAACTTCCCAGTTGTTGAGAAATTAATTTGAGTACTTACTACTGCATGATTGGAAAAGAAGATACTTTGCTACATATACTCTCTGCTGAACTGGCAATGCTATAGGAATATTTTCTTTTTTTATTTTGAAGTATATTCCAGGCAGGTTTAACAGTACATAAACTCTAAGAAATATTATTTAATCTTTATTTTATAAAAGGAGTCTCATTGTCTGGCTTCATAGGTCCCTTTTTGGTTACTTTCAGATTTTTCCCAAAATATCCTTATTTACAATACACAAGAAAGATACCAAATAATTACTTTATTTTCTCTTTCAAATTTCTTTGGGGATGAGAGATAGGTATGGAGATATGTGTGTATGTGTGTGCGTGCGTGCGTGTGTGTGTGTGTGTGTGTGTGTGTGTGTGTGTATTATAGCTATATCTATATATAGAGAGAAAGAAACATTCACAGCCTCACCCCCTTGCCTAATTTACATCTATAGTCAGATAAATTCCAGCCTAGATTCTAGTATATTCTTCAAAAACCTACAATGTTCAAAATGTGTTACCTGGCCCCAGAGTCTACGGGGAAGAGACTTATATTCAGTCCTTTCAAAAACAAACATTCTTTTATCACTTACAGTCTTATTTCCAATAAGACCTTCACCTTGTTTCTTTTGTATCCCCAATGTTTATCA